TTAAATTTGCTTTTAAAATACAGAGCTTAACTGACTAAAAAAAATCCATTCTGCTTTTAAGAGAGACACCTATTTTTAAAACTCACAGAGGTTTGCTAATGTTTTACAAAAGAAACGCTATGCAAAATGTAAAGCTAGCTCTTTGGAATATGTCTGTTTGGCATTCTAGTATGGAAATGTGCCACAAGACATTTAATCATTCCTCTATTTATGGTTGTTTTTCATTTTTTATTCTTACAAAGAATACTTATAATGATAAAGAAATTAAAGCAAGTTGCAACAAGATATATAATGTCTAACATAATTTATATTATTTAAAATATGAAGAAATTGTATATATTTTATGGATGCAAATGTAATAATCCCATGCATATATGCACAGGAATAATAAATACCAAATTCTGAATGATGGGGKTTTTTTGGAGGGGGGTTTGCAGAGAGTAAAGTATCATAGAGGAGGTATACTAGGTAACTCAATTCTACCTGCATTATCTAATCTTTTTAAAAACATTTTTTAGCAAATATGGAAAGCATTAGTATCTGATTAAACTGTATTGAGAATACAGGTATTTCTTTTGTGAACATTTCTACATTTTCTGTACACTTAAAATATTTTATATTAAAGAATTTTATGTGAAAAAAGAAAAGAATACTAATTTATAAAACTTTACACTTGTATTACATTTCTCCCCACATTTTGATATTTTTTTCTTTTGCAGTACTGGGAATTGAACCCAGGGGTGCTCTGCCACTGACCTACATCATCAGCCCTTTTTATTTTTATTTTGAGACAAAGCCTTACTAACTTTCCTAGTCTGGCTTCAAACTTGTGATTTCTCTGCCTCTACCTTCCAAGTAGCTGGGAATACTGGTTGTGTACCACCACGCCCAGCAATATCTTGAATTTTTGACATCCCAAACATTTCCATTTTTCTACACTGCCTCTTTTTAAATATTTTTTAGTTGTTGTCGGACTTTTATTTTATTCACTTATTTATATGTGGTGCTGAGAATCAAACCCAGTGCCTCACAAATGTGAGGCAAGCACTGTACCACTGAGCCACAACGCCAGCCCTATGGAAATTGCTTGACTCATTTATTTTTCACAGTTGTTGGACCAAAGGACTGTGCAAACAAAGACCAACCAAATGAGAACAGGCGAAGGCAATTCTGACACCATCACTGCAGAGACTTAAAAAGAAGGAAGAGGAGTAGGAAAGATTAATAGTAGAAAAAAAGAAAAATTTATATGTGCTCTGATCAGAAGCTATAAGCAGGCAGCTAAAAGCAGCCATCCTATGAGATTGGATAAATGTACATATTTGATTTTCTCTGATTGGTCATGAATTGGAAGCAAGGACAAAAATTAAGTCAAGTTTTCAATTATTAATCAAGACTTGGACATGAGGCCAGTTGTTAAAACCATTAGATTTCATGGTCTGGTTGTTAGAGATAGTGATCGGACTTCCTGTGAGGCTGACTTCCTGGGCTGGTTTTTGCAGCTAATGAGTTGATTGCTGCAGATGGGGGTCAGAGGCCTAATTTTATATGTAGTCTGGCCATTCATTTTCCTTAGTATATTCAGTCTCTTAGGATATAGAGAACATGAAGCAGCTCAGTTGGATACTATATCATTGTGAAGAAATTTGTTGGGATGAGGGAAATAGATTTTTGAGAGCATTTTCTGTTAGTAGAAAGCACAAAAGAACAGGGATCTGGGGAAACACAAGTCTTTTCATTCACAGATTCATTTACTCAACACATATACTCAGCAATTATTTATTACATGTTCCAGATATTGTTCTAGAGTCTGGGGATGCAATAGGGGTCCTGTCCTTGAGGAATGTATACTTTTCAGAGGAATAAACTCAGGTTATTATGGCAGCATGTGAGAAGAAGGGCTTCTCTCAACTAGAAAGTCAAGAGGATCTGGAGGAAGTAACATTTAAACTAAGACAAGTGTCAGGTGATAGAGAAAGGAACTGAGTTCTGGGAAAAAAAAAGTAGAACATAGGCAATAGTTGAAAAGGGGTATGGGTAGGGGAACAAAACACATTCTGATCTGTCTCAGACAGGCCTAGCATCGGAGTGCAATAACTAATCACAGTACCTTTCACTTTCAGAAGGATTCTGGTTGGTCACCTAAGTATGGTACATTTGAGAACTGGGAGCTTGAGAGGGAGGAGCAGGATCAGAAGGGGACTGCAGAGGTACTCAGGGCCTCAAATAACTGATCCTGGCCTCAGAGACCAGAGTGCAATGCAGAGAGGGAGGACTGGATATCCACACCACAACTAACATCACATTTCTAGTACCTTCTCCCACTTCTACAGTGCACACAAGTCAGTTAATTTCTCTATCAAGTCATTCTGTCACCAGGTAGGAAAGGATAAAGGGGTAGGACCTTTCCCATGGTGCTCTCAGAGATTGAGGATAAACCTTTGGAGACAAAACCAAGAAGTCCTACCCAGCAGGGCATGGTGGGAGGCTAAGGCAGGAGAATCACAAGTTCAAAGCCAGTACCAGCAACTTAGTAAGCCCTAAACAACTTAGCAAAACCCTGTCTCTAAATAAAATATTTTTTAAAAGTCTGGGGACATGGCTTAGTGGTTAAGCACTCCTGGGTTCAATCCCCAGTACAAAAAAAAAAAAAATTCTACCCAAGAAGAAAATGAGACTATAGCCCATGACCATCCCAGAATGGACCTGGGTATTGTCCATATCATGATAAGTGATAGAGGAAGGGGACTGAAATGCTAGGAGATAGGGCATCAGTAAAGAGCCTTCAAATTTTGTCACAAGTTCAGTTTCTTGGAACAAAGAGGAAAATGATCTTTGGAAAAGTAGTGATATTAGTTACAATAAAGGAGCAGCTGCTATATCAGAGGCCCAAAATAACAATGTCTTCAAAAGACAAATTAAAACAAATTTAAAGATCTTAACTGGTTTTCATTTACAATTTTAGAACCAGGCAACCCTCAGAACCAGAACTGTTTCAAGAATTCTGGCCTGCAATATGGCCAGGCAATGTGCATGGATGGCAAACTGAAGTGCGCTTAAATAGCCTTGAAGAAATCATCTGGATGCCTGTCATTGACTGCAGCTCAGCCTGTATTCAGCCAGATTCAGCTATGTGTTACAAAAGTGGACTCCTGAGTTAGACTTTTCATTCAGTCATGTACTAAGTCAGGCTACGATTCATTATATAAGGAGTCAAATGTGGAAACATCTTCAGACCAAATTTGGTGTGTCTACCTTCAACAGTGTCAATGTTCCTTCTCTCTCATATATATCAGTATAAAAATATGGAGTACAAGGCTAACATGGTAGTTCTTCAGAGTGAATATTCAGGTTCCTTCTGTCTCTGGCATTCTCTGGTGTTGCCCTCATCTGCAAGGTCCAAAAGTGGCACACCATGATGTTTACTCTTCATCCCTTGGAAAGATGGTAATGCCACAGAGAGCTGGGATTAAATGCCAGCTTCATTCCATTCTTATCAGTGTGACCTCAGGCCATTGGTATGCTCTAAGCCAGGGGAAAGGTTACTGCAGTCACAGAAGTGTAGGAGATGGCAGGTGGGCTTCTGACAGAGAAGGGAGGCCCCCTGAAAATAGCTATCAAAACTTTACCTGCACTTGATAGCCAGTGCTGCTGGTACCCCCACGGGATTGCAAGGAGATGTATTCTTCTCTCAGATTCAACTGGCAGCACTTACATCTCTTTCTCTGGCCATCAGAGTCTACTCTTCCCACATTCAGGGCAAACCAGAAGTGCTACAGGATTGACACCCTGTCCCCACCAAGAGTGACCCTCAGCCAATAACTATTGATGTTCTCTACCCACTGCTCCCCTTGGCTGGGATAATGCTAATGCACAAGATCTTCATTGTCTCACAGTGGAATTGTCTTTCCAGTGGAATTAAGCTCCAGGGGTTCATATCTTTGTTGGCAATAACACCAGCTAATGCCTTCCCTTTCCGAGCTTACTTCCCCACCTAAGGCTATTTCATGGAAACACTTCTTAAATAAACTTCTGTCACTCAAATTCTTGTCTTGGATTTGTTTGGGGGGAACTCAAACTTCTAGGAATATATTCTATAAATTGTCCTTACACATATGTGAAAATGACACATCCAGTTTATTAATTCAGCATTGCTTATAATAGTGAGAAGTTAGAAATAAAATATCCAAAGGAGACTGGTTCACTACATTATTACACAATCACACAATAGAACATTCTGCAGCTGTATAAAAGAATGAAAAAGTAATTTATCTTGGCATGAAACAATCTGAGCTATTAACGGAAAAGTAAGATACAGAACAGTACAAAGTATGCTACCATTTGTGTAAAAGAAAAAAAGGCTTGTATGTATGTGTATTTGTGTGTGCGTTTGCACATGCCTAGGATTTTGAAGATATATAACCCTGACTGCCCCCCAAGGAGGGAAGAGAGACTTTTCACCATTCACTCTTGAATGTCTTTCAATTTTTGTATGATGGACAGGCTTATCAATTCAAAAAGAAAAGTAACTTTGAAATAATGAACGAATAAATAAAGGGAGGGTTACCATTCTTCGTTGGACATCTTTATTGGGCCCACTGACTCTAGTATGAAATGGATTTGGATGGAATCCTGCCAGCTCACAAKCTCCTGGTTCCTTCCACAGCTTCTCTGTGTACTTTAAGTTCTGGCTTCACAGGCTCCAGGGGTCTGCTCATTTGCCCATGCAGGAAAGTCTCACTTCCTTTGTCAAAGAGTGGATCTCCTGCTTCATTTCCCTTTATTTTTGATCACAAGGGCTGCTGCCATCACCTTTCTCAGAAGAAGGCGCAACAGCTTCTTTACCACACACAAGGAAGCCCAGCCAATTACCTTATTATTTTATTATTATTATTATTATTATTATTAAATAATAACAATAAGGTTATTGACTGGGCTTATAAATATTATTTAGTTGTAGTTGGACATATACCTTTATTTCATTTATTTTTACGTGGTGCTGAGGATTGAATCCAGGGCCTCACATGTGCTAGGAAAGTGCTCTACCGTTGAGCCATAACCCCAGGTCCCCCAGCCAATTACCTTCTGACCAAGAGGTGCTGAAAACACCTGAATCATATACACAATTTATGCATACACACAAATGGAAGCCCAAGCAGGTCTTCATGAGACATAAATATACCAGTTTCCTAAAGGTCATGTCTGTCCAGCACCCTAGGGACTTGCATGTTAGTCTGACTCAAGTCCTGCTTGCTGTCAAAGAGGCCATGCATTGGAGAAGGAGCTGTTATTGGGGTGGTGCCTCTTGAGGACCAGTTTCATTCATCATGTCCTTGTACTGTCGCTTGAAGAAACCAAGCTGTTGGGGCAGAGACAGAGGAGTAAGGACCACAGAAGCCAGTGGGAAGGCAAGGGTCATGCAAAACAAGAGTGGGGACAAAAGAATAAAGAGCAGTACAAAATAATGGGGCAGAGAGTAGAAGGGAACTGGGGAAAATGAGGCAGGAAAGGAAATCCCATCAATGTTGGAACCAGGAAAGAAATATAAAATAAAACAAGGAGAATTACTCCCTCTATGACAGTCCTTCAGTACCAGGGATCATTCTAGTTGCTCTACATATATTAACCCAATTTCCTTCACAAAAAGGGTATTGATAACTGTTTTACAGCTGAAGAAACTGAGGCACAGAGAGGCCCTAATCTGCCCAAGATCGCCCAGCTAGCAGCAATGCTAGGAGTCAAACCTCTGCACACAAAGGGATGGGAGGAGGGTTAGGAAGAGGGCCAAACAGGGGATACCTTGTACAGTCCAGCAGTGATGAGGGCCAGGAGCACCAGGCCCCCAATGGAGCTACCCACAATGAGTGGCACAGGGTTGTGAATTTCATATGGTTCCACTTTGGTCTCTGTCTGGGGAAGGAAGATCAGAGTAGACAGATGCCAAATTTCTGGAGGTTTCCCCAATCAGGCCTGTACTCCCCCTAAACCCAATGGCTGTTCCCTCCCCATCTCTCCCAGTATCCCAGCCCTCACTCTTGAGTCCCCACCTGTTTCTTTTTCTCCCTCCATGACCAGAAATGATCTTGATAAACCCGGTTTCCCCTCCTCCCTCCAACAGTCCTCTGTGTCTGAGCCAGTTACCTGGGACCTCACAAACATCCCCTGTCCAGGGAGTAGAGCAAACATGGAATCGTTAAACAATATCTCTGCTGTGCTCACAAGCAGGAGGTGGTTATGTGAAGTCTGTGGAAAAGAACAGAGCAATAGCCAGGTCTGGGGTCCTGAAGTATCACATTTGTGCCCCACAAAGTCTCAGGATCCCACATACCTTGATATACCAGTCAAATGAGAGGTTGCCTTTGAGGACAACGTTGAAGTCTTCCTGGATGCCAAAGAATGGGATTTCACACTGGATTATCTGACAGACAGCAATGGAGCAGTTCTAGGGGGGAAAAGGAGAAGAGAGAAATGGATAAGGATGCTGATGCAGGATCATCACTTGGTGCTCAGCCCTCTCAGTCAAGAGACCATATTGAGCTCCAATGAGGGGACCACCAAGGATCTACATGTATTCCTGAGGCTACTCACCACCACTGGGGTCTTCTTAAGTACAGCCTGGAAGTCAGAGTGGGTAGGGAGTCTCTTATCAGTATGGCAAGCACTTGAGACATTCTGAGGAAAGAAAGACACCATGAGAAGAGAAAGGAATGGGAGGATGAGACAGCCTGGATCCAGGAGAGGGTCAGAAAGCCTCGAAAGTCCAGTGCAGGAAACAAATTTTAGGAAAGATCAAGACTATGGAGGGAGGAACCAGACCCACTTCTCAGGCCCAGCCAGACTCACCTGGGAGAAGATGACCTCAAGGTGGTCCCAGACTGTCACATGGTTCAGCTGGACAGGGACCCAGAAGGTCACATTGATGGGGAGGCTCCTCTGGCCCAGGTTGTTGAACTACACCAGGGGAAGAATGAGAGATCAGGCATCTGGACTTGTACTCCACCAACTCTTGGACTCAGCCTCCTTGTTTCCTAGAGCCCAGTACACCTAAATAAGGCCCAAGTGTCCTTTCCCTTTCTGGGAGGGAGAGAGTAGCCATTAAATACACACTTGAGATCCAGACAGGCATTTCCTAAATCCTGGCTAGTCTACTTATTAGTTGAGAGGCATTGGACAGGGTTTGTTTTTTTGTTTTGTTTTGTTTTGTATTGTTATTTTGGTATCAGGGATTGAACTCAGGGGCACTCAATCACTGAGCCACATCCCTAGTCCTATTTTGTATTTTTCATTTAGAGACAGGGTCTCACTAAGATGCTTAGTGCCTTGCTTTTGCTGAGGCTGGCTTTGAACTCATGATCCTCCTGCCTCAGCCTCCTGAGCCGCTGGGATTACAGGCATGTACCACTGCGCCTGGCACTTGGACAGGTTTTGTTAACCTCTCTGAGCCCCAATTTCTTCATCTGTAAACTGAGAGTAGCAACAGTGCCTCAGAGAGTCTTTATGAAGATAAAATGAGTTCATCATGTAGGTATGTGTGCACATACCGATATGCATGCTTGTGTGTGTGCAGAGTGAGATCTTCCTTGGAGCTGTGTCTGGCACACACATTTCCCATCTCCATCATTGTTTGTATATTTTCTTCACATAAATTTCCCTCCCCAACATCCTCTTAGGACCCAGACATTCCCTGTGCTCACCTGATATTGATGCTGTATAACATGACTAGTCTTCTCTGAGGCCGTGAAGTTGAGATATTTGGTAGAAACCTCAGTACTAAAGGAAGAAAGAAAGAACAGGAAGTGACAGAAATGAGGGGTGCCCTGGAAGGGGCTCACAGGCTAAGTGTGTAAGGAGTAAGCAGGCACATAGATAATGCAGCTCTGAGAAGGCAAGAGCAGGGTGATGCATGTCAGAGACACAGTGGGTGCCAGTTAGGCCACTCACACAGAAGCAACATGTGCACACATACACACCATACATGCGCGCGCACACGCACACGCACACGCACACACACACACACACACACACACACACACACAAGCACAGATTCATGAACACAATTGGCTGTGTCCAGCCAATGGAGAAGGCTCAGCTAGGTCGCTGGGGGCCTGCACCTGGTGACTACCGTGACGACAGCATATTTCACAGGCAGCTGCAGTTGGAACTCAGTTTTATTGGTCCTGGGCATATTGTTCTCACTGAAGGGAAAGAGAGCGCTTAGTCAGCACTTAAGAACTGAGAATCAGCCTTTTCTTCTCCTTCTCCTTCATCTCCTAACTCCAGTCAGTCACCAAGTCCTATTATCTCTGCATCCTAAACCTGACTATTTTCTAACTCCCTTCTGCCCCTACATAGCCCAGGCCCGTGGCTAAAACAGACTTCTAACTAGACCTCTGAATTTAAAACTGTTTCCAATCCAATTCCCAGCCCTGTTGAAAAGTGACCTTTCTAACATGCAAATATAATCATGTCACTCTGATAAGTTAAACTGCAAATTCCCTTAAACCACTTATGGAACATTTTGTGGCATGGCCATAACCAGTGCCTTAAGTCCTATTTCATGTGCTCAGGCCATTCTTAAACACATCTTGATCTTTCCAGGCTTTAGGCTTTGCCTGGTAGGTGCTTCTTTCTGTCTGTCTTTCTGCCCACCTTCAGTTYCTGCCTTTAAGTGATTGACTCACAGACTAAATATATTTTCTTCAGGAATCTTCTCTGAACACCAAGCTCCCAAGAACACTGGACATCCCCCATCTAGTCATTCATTTCATACTGTATTATGATTGCCAGTTTTCTTGTCTATCTGTGCCACATAACCTCTGTGAGGACAGGAACCACAGTTGTCCTATCTGCCACTGTCCCACAAGCCTTCAACACAACTGTGAGTGCTCAGTAAGTATTTGTTGAATGAACAAATTATCTGAATGGAGAATCAGGAAAGGGGAAAGGTTCACTATGGACAAGGGGCTGGGGCCTCAAAGGAGAGGGTGCGTATGGAGAGGCAGGGACAGTGCACCTGGTCACATTAGCCTTGAGGAGTAGCTGGTTTCCAAGAAAAGCATCAGGCTCCACATTAAATGTGACATTAAAGGTGACCTGGAGGTAGAGAAAGGAGACACAGTGATAAAAATGGGAGAGAAGAAACAACACAAATGTCTATCAACTGTTGAATGAATAAATAAAATGTGATCCACCCATACAATGGAAATACTATTCAGCAATAAAAGGAAATGAAGTACTGATAGGTGAATGATTCTTGAATATACAATGTTAATTCAAATAAATTGATTCCAAAGAACCACATGCTGTATGTTTCCATTTCAATGAAATATCCAGGATAAGCAAATCTATAGAGATAAGTAAATCAATGGTTATCAATGGCTGGGAGAGGCGGGTGGAAAGCTGATAACAAGGTCTCTAAATCTGATCATGACAATGGATGCACAACTCTGAGTATACTGAAAGCCACTGAACTGTCTACTTTAAATGGATGAGTTTATAGTATATGAATTATATCTCAGCAAAGCCGTTTGATGCCAGGCACAATGGCACATGCCTGCAATTCCCAACAGTTCAGGAGGGGGATGGTGAGTTCAAAGCCAGCCTCAGCAACAGCACGGCACTAAGCAATTCAGTGAGACCCTGTCTCTAAATAAAATTCCAAAAAAGGGCTGGGGATATGGCTCAGTCATTGAGTGCCCCTGAGTTCAATCGCCAATAGCAAAACAAAAGCTGTTTTGTAAAAAAAAAGAATCTTCAATTTTTAAGATGAGAAGAAGGAGGAGGAAAAAGGAGAGGGGATAAGGAAGAGGAGGAGGAAGAAGAGGAGGAGGAGGAGAATTCCAGATGAAGACAATGGATAGAAGGAGAGGAAGAGCTGGTAGCTCAGACCTCTGAGTTGCCTGGGAAAATGGGGTGGTTTATGATGCAGCTGGTGCTCTTCAAAGCCACAGGCCCTTCAGTGGAAGAACCAGAGTCACAGGACAGACGCCAGTATCGCTGTGAGCGCTGGTTCTGGAAGGCAAAGGAGGCAGAAAGGGGTGTTAATAACCAGCAGCCATGAAGATGGGGAAAGCAAAGGTCAGATTGGGTCTAAGAAGGACCTGGCTACCTGGGCCGCTGACACCTTCCGAAAGAACAAGCCAGATGGGTGGTAGAAGGTGACCTGAGTCCCATAGGAATCCTCACCCTCATTTCTCACAGTCAAAGTCACAATGAAGTCCTGGGGATCACCCACCACCAAGGTGTCCAGGCTGTAGGGACAACAAAACATACCAGGAGGTTCTTGAGGGCTTCCCTGTGGGAAGGCTGTTTGAGTGGAAAGGAAGTGCAGCACTTAGAGACGTTTCAGACAGAGTAGCCACTAGGGACCTTGCAGCACACAGACACCTCCAATAGACCTAGCTGTTCTCCGAAGGCTCACTTAGGAGCCAGGAGAAGAACAGGGTTCTACATCATGCACAGGTTCAAAGGAGGCAATGAGGAAAAGAAACTCACTTCATGAAATTGAATGTGAGGCTTAGGTCATCCTGGCAAATGTTGTCATCACCACAATTCTTCTCAAAGGGAAACTGTAAAAAAAAAAAAAAATAGAAGAAAATAAAATGAAAGGAAAGAAAATAATGAAGTGAAACAATTAAACAAAATGTTGAAATAAAATTATGTAAAATAATTTTCAACATAAGACCCCACAATAAATGTGACATTAAAGGTGACCTGGAGGTAGAGGAAGGAGACACAGTGATAAGAATAGGAGAGAAGAAACACCACCAATGTCCATCAAGTGATGAATGAATAAATAAAATGTGATTCACCCATATAACAGAAATATTAGTCAGAAATAAAATGAAATGAAATCTTGATGTTTTCCATGACCCTGTAGAGCCTCAACTCAAGGACTCACCATGGCTGTGAACAGTCTCTGAGCATCCACAGCCAGAACTGGCCGAAGGTTTCCAAAAGAGGATGAGGGCATCCCCACCAGAGTGTAGTTGAGGCGCAGGGCAATGGGGCTCACTGAGTCCTCCACACAAACCTGAAAGATAGTGGGGATTTGGGAATCTGCCCTCCTCAGCTTCCCAAGACCACCCATTCTCAGCCCAGGGATCTGGCCACTCTCCTGCTCACCGGTAATGATAGCTTCAGGGTCTCACATTTCTGCCTCAGGCCAAAGGTCTGTGTCTGTCTGCGTGTGCTGTTCATTGTCTCAACAAAAATGGCACGGGAGCGTGGGCGGCCAGGGTCCAGAGCCAGGTCATAAGTGATAGTGCTCTGGATTTCTCCTGAAGGAACAGGACAGCATGGTGGTGAGGAGCCTGGGCTATAGATCAGGCAGAGAGGAGTCTGAGGCCCAGCTCCTCTGCTCCCCAGTTGTGTGACTTGGGCCATGTTATCTGACCTCTTTTGAGTCTCAGTTCCTTATTTTCAAAGTCAGGATAATAATCATACCTTTCCAATGGTAAAAAAATGAAATAAAATTGTGACCATAAAGTAATTGCTCAAAAAAAGGTAGCTATTCTATTATATATTAGAAAATTGATTGTATTTTTCTGACTTCATTCAAGTTATTTTGTTCTCTTTGTCTTTTGTAATCAGCAATATGACTATAATGTACTTTGGTATGGCTTCCTTTATATTTATCCTGCTTTGATTTTTTTTTAAAGAATCTTGATCTTTCAAGATTCTTAACACTGTTTTTTWATTGCTTCTTCTGATTATCCCCCACACTCTTTTTCTCTCTCTCTCCATTCCTTCCCCTCTCCCTCTCTCTTTCCCTGTCTCTAATTACATTGTTAGATTTTTCACCATATCCTATATATCTCTTACAATTTTGTCTGTATTTATCATCCTTTTCTCTTTGTGTGTTAATCTGAATACTTTCAGTTAACTTATCTCTAGTTCAATAATTCTGTGTTCTGCTTCTAATCTGCTATTAAATCTATTGAATTCTTAATTTCAGTCATTGAATAGTTCAGTATCAAAATTTCAGTTTGACTCTATCCTATGAATTCCAGGTCTTTCCTGAAGTTTCCCATCCTTTCCTTTTCCTCTTAAATATATTACTTGTAGGGGGATTTTATTTTTTGTTTCTGTCTGATCACTCTGATTTCTAAATCACCATTGGGTCTCTTTCTATTACCTATTATTTCCCTTGGTTACTGTTCATTGTCTTAATGGAAAAACCAAGGCATTTACCAAGGCCCCTCTTAAATCTGACTCCTCAGCACTGGGAAGGTATTTAATTCTCTGCTCAGCTCTTTAGGTTTTCAGCTGTTATTTTCTACTAGATTGCCTGCAGTATTGACCTGGGCATTTGTGGCTTATGAGTCAGCCAATGACTTAAGAGAAATTTCTGTGTAGATTTTGGGGTGCCTTTTACATAACTCCTTACTCTCCAAAACTTTTCTTTCAATTTCAATCCATGTTGGCTGCCCCAATCTCTGTTTATTATCTCCTCAAGCCAGTAAGACTGCTGCTAGAAGGATGATTTTTTTTTCTCCTCCTCTCACTTCTTTCAAGTGCTGTCATTACTCTTCCCGACCAGAGGCACAATTCTATTCTTTGAGAATAGGGACAAGGGAGATTTCAGGTCACTAATGAGTTGCTACATCAATTCTACCTCACCAAATGAGTTCTCTCACAGTTTAAGAAAAATGAACCTAATCTGTTCACAGGAATGGGGCCCTTAGTTCTCTGGAGAATGAAGAGTGTAAGGGGGTGATACATGTTCGCTTCTCTGGTGAGTTTTGCTGGGCTTCTCACCAGGCTTGGAAAAGTCTATCAGAGCCTATCATAACTTTCCTCTGGATTACCAGAGGCTGGGCAGACTGAAATGAGCCACCTATCTATGCCCCTAGTCATTTAATCTTTTGAGACCTACCCACCAAGCCTCACCGTCATTTAGCCGATCCCGTGTGCTCTTTCGGACAAGGAGGCAGACTCTGACCTCCCCAGCAGCCTTGCTTGTCACCACCTGTTCATGACACTCAAATACATCCCTTGCCACTTCCTTGGGTGTGAACTCCATGGTCACCACAACTCTTAGCACTGGCTGGGATCTACAGGGACACTAAAGGACCATCAGAAAACTTCATACAGCAAGGAAACTTCTTCAAGGGTAGAGTGGACCAAATTCTCACCTGAGCAACAGTATATGTCCCTGGGCCCCTACAGCCAGGTCTGCCAATCCATCCCTTGTGAGGTCCTGACCGCCACTCAGTGACTGACCAAAATACTGGAGCTGGGGGGAAAGCTGGGAGCCTGTAATCCGCTGTGGGTAAAAAATAGATAAGAAAGGGAGGGGGAAGGTTCAAGTAGAGATTCTCCAGGCTGTACTTAACTCTCATCCCCTACAAATTTTCAGGGAATTAGGGCAATTCAAACTTATCAAGGAATTATTTACCTTTAAACCACAACCTCAAGATGATACCCCAAATTCCCATTAATTACTTGGGCTTTCTAGAGAAAACAAGAAGTTTTATAGGAAAGAAGCAAAAGTATATTTTGGGCCCCTTTGAATCTCACTTACATGGTCAGAATAATGCAAACACTGAATATTAATCTAATCAAAATTATCATATAATTTCGAGGAAGGAAGAGGGTAGAGAATGTGTTCAGGTGTGGCAAGAGGGAGACCAAAAGAGAACACAATCTTCACTTTTCATACTAGGAAATCTATGTTAAAACAAAAATCAAGAAATAGGAAACATTTTTGGAGTGGAGGGTATGGGAATTGAACTCAGGGGCACTCGACTACTGAGCAACATCTATCCCCAGCCCTATTTTGTATTTTATTCAGAGACAGGGTCTCACTAAGTTGCTTAGCACCTCACTAAATCACTGAGGCTGGCTTTGAACTCACAATACTCCTGCCTTGGCCTCCTGAGCTACTGGGATACAGGAGTGTGCCACCACGCCCAGCTAGGAAATTTTTCTTTATGCATTCATGCATAGATGACTCCGTATCTTAGCTATTGTAAATAGTATTGCAATTAACGTGAGAATGCAGGTATCTTGTCAATAAAATGATTTCATTTCCTTTGGATATATATATACAGTAGTGAGATCACTGGATTATATGGTAATTCTATATCTGACTTTTTAAGAAAACTCTATACCATTTTCCAGAGAGAATATACTAATTTACATTCCCATAAACAGTAGATGAGAGTTGCCTTTTCTTGACATCCTCACCAGTATTTGTTTTTATTTTTTTTTTATAGTAGCCATTCTAACTGGGGGTGAATGCTATCTCATTATGGTTTTAATTTGCATTTCCCTTATGATTAGTGATATTTAATACTTTTCATATATCTATCAATCATTTGTAGGTCTTCTTTTGAAAAATATCTCTTTAAGCTCATTTGTTCATTTTTAATGTGCAATGGAATATTAGTCATCCATAAAAAGAATGAAATCCTATTGTATGTGGCAATGTGGATCAAACAAGGAGGATCCTGTGTTAAGTAAAACAATCCAGGCCCAGAAAGACAAATACTTCATGCTCTCACTCATTTGAGGAAGCTAAAAAAAAAAAATGATTGCATAGAAAAGAGTGGAATAATGGTCACTAGAAACTGAGAAAGAATGGGGAAAGGGAAAGAGACAGAGGTTAGGTAGTGGCTACCAAAATACAGTTAGATAGAAGGAATTAGTTTTGGTATTCGATAGCATAGTGGGGTAATTATAGTCCACAATAATTTATGATAAACTTCAAAATAACAAGAAGAGCCTGAAGGTTCCCGACACATAGAATTAATCAAGTTGGAGGAGACAGAAATGCTAATTGCTCTGATTTGATTATTACACATTGTATATAGAAATGCTAATTGCTCTGATTTGATTATTACACATTGTATACATGTATCAAATTATTGTACCATAACTCATAAATATGTGCAAATATTTTGAGTCTATTAATTTAAACGTGTTTAAAAAGAAGTAGAAAAATTATGTTATTTGGACATATAGAAAATAATTGGAAAGGGGCTGGGGTTGTAACTCAGTGTAGAGTGCACACCTGGCAAGTGTGAGGCACTGGGTTTGATCCTCAGCACCACATAAAATAAATTAAAGTAAGGGTATTGTGTCCATCAACAACTAAAAAAAAAWTTTTTTAAAGAAAATAATTGGAGGAACTGAAATAGGTGTCTTCAGAGGGGAATAAAGCAGAAATCATAGTGTGTATGGAAACTGGTTTTTGTGATAAGCCTATTTTTACTTTTCAATCTGTTTACAAGAATAATATTTTAAAAACTAAATAATAAACTTTTAAAAATTTTTAAATGATTTTATTCTGTACTTAATGCCAGTGAACTGTGCACTTAAAATGATTAAGATAGTAAATATTATGTCATATTTTACCACATTTTTAAGTGATTTTTGTCAGGGCTGGGGGTATATGTAGCTCATTGGTAAAGCATGGGCTTACCAAGTGCAAAGGCCTAGGTTGATTCCCAGCACCACAAAAGAAAAAAAACTGATTTTTTTCAGCTGCAAAGAAGGATGAGGAAACATTAGATGCTAGAAATTTTTGACATATTAATCTAGGTGGTGGTTACTTGGGTTTACTAATATACAAAAAAGTCATCTTCAAGATTTGTGTGTTTAGTGTATAGTTTATACCTCACATTTGTTTGAGAACTATATATACTATTCTGTTGGGAGGATGCTTTGTTTTGCACTGATGTATAATAAGGCAGTTTGGAGATCCACTGCATGTTTGCTTGTCTGAACACTGACCATTTCCAGTTTCAATCACTAGGGGGAAAGAAGTAAAAAATTTAAATAGAAGAATAACAAAATAGTATGACTCTTTTTGGTTTTGCTCTTAATCCAAAAGTGTGTGTGTGTGTGTGTGTGTGTGTGTGTGTATACACGCCCAGGCATTTAAAGTACCCTCCTCTCAACAAATGTCGAATGTTTTCTCTGATATAAGGAGGCTGACTCAGTGGGGTAGGGAGGGGGAACATGGGAGGAATAGATGAATTCTAGATAGGGCAGAGGGGGGGGAGGGAAAGGAAGAGGGCAGGGGATTAGCAAGGATGGTGGAATGTGATAGACATTATCATCCAAAGTACAAATATGAAGACACAAATTGGTGTCAACATACTTTATATACAAACATAGATATGAAAAATGTGCCGTATACATATAATAAGAATTGTAATGCATTCCACTGTCATTTTTTAAAATCAATTAAAAAATAAAGTACCCTCCTCTAAGCCTCGTTTTCTTTGGAAGGGTGTTATGGAGAGTACAGTGAGGGAACTAGGGCTTTTATTGTTTATTTTAGGATTATATATTTGCATGACAAGCATATAAATCTTTTATACTAAAAATTTTTAAAAACCAAAACCTTCAAATCCTATTTATGTAGAGAAACAATAGGCATCAATGAAAAGAAGCATTATTGCCAGATTCAGTGGCACAAGCCTGTGATCCCAGCTACCCAGGAGGCTGAGGCAGGAGGATCTCAAGTGCAGGGCCACCCTGGGCAACTTAGTAAGACACTGTCTCAAAATAAAATAAAAAAGGGCTGGGTGTATAGTTCAGAGACAGAATGTCTGCCTAGTATTTGCAAGGTCCTGGGTTCAATCTCCAGTACTACAACAAAGTAAAAACAAAGAAAGAAGGAAGAAGGAAGGAAAAAATGTTTAAATATTGTACAATTGTGGAAAGAGGCTTCTCCATGCAGTGAGAAGTTAGTAAGGCAATGGTTCTCATCCCTGGCTGCACCTAACAAGCTTATAAAATATACTTGGGCCTATGTAGTGTATTATTCCATAGTRTATTAATCCATTCATATGAAGTTATAAAATTGGTATAACTAATCTATGTTAGAAAATAATCAGAACCTTGGTTGTTCCTGGGAAAAGAGGGGAGGGGTTCTGTTAATAGATGGTAGAAGGGAGGGTGATCATGATCAAAGAACAATATATGCATGAATGGAAATATCACAATGAAACCCATAAACTTGTACAATTAATATATGTTAATAATTATAATTTTAAATTTTCCATAAAGAGAGAAAGAGAACTTTTCCATAAAGAGAGAAATAGAACTTTCTCTTTTGTGTTAATAATAATATTTTGTATCATGATAAGAGTTTGTCAAAATTCACTGAATAAAGATTTGTTCATTTCCTGTCTGAAAGTTTCATCTTTAAAATAACTGTGAACAAATATTTAATTTTAATTAATAATATACATGCTGAAGCACTTAGACTCAAAGTGGACTGATTTCCACTGCAACAAAAAAATAAGGTCAGTGACACCAACAACATGGTGGAATAGGAGTTCTTCAACTCCACTGTTCCCACCACAGAAATCCAATCAGCAACTCTTCACAGGCAAGAATACTGTCATGAATACTCCAGAACTCAGGAATGAGGCTGAGACACCCCCACTGAACCAGAAAAGTCACAACTGAAAGATAAGAGGAATGGTTCTCTTTGACCACCCCAAGCCACACAGAGAATTCCCAGAGACCCAAAGTTTCTACAGTGGTAAAAGTGTTGAAGATAGGTATTCAGATTTCCCACCATTCTGGGACCCTTCTGTAGAAGGCTCATCCTAAGGGAAATAGAAACAAAGAATGTGGGTGGGCTCATAGCAGCCAGTATGCAGATCTCTACCTTCTGGCCAACTGAGAGGCCACACTAGAAAAACTAGCCAGCAGCCTTGTACTGCAAAACACACAGTCCACAGGTCTTGTAGACTTCAACCCCTGGCCAGCTTCCTCACACAGCCTGAGGGCTCTTATGAAGTCTTCCCTAGACTAGGAAATAACTGCAGGTCGGTGATTACCAGCAGAGGGAGCATCTGGCCTTGCCAACCCCAGGCTGGGCAATATTTATTCTACTAAACCTCATTCTCTGCTTTAAGCCTACCCTAGGCCAGGAGGCAAGCCCAAGTCCACATATATCTGTGGAGCAAGACTGTGTCTCTGCCCATCTCATACAGATGAACAGCAATTCCAGAGACTTCACCTAATCCTAGAGACATCATGGGGCCCTGCCTGACTACAAATACTTCCATAGTGTATCAATCCATTTATATTAATCCAAACAATCCAATTGCCCAGTCCAGGAAAACAATCTTAACTCTGCCTGATCAGAAATTATCACAGAGCACAGGCAGCAACCCCATCTGCTGCAGAGTCTAGTCAGTGGTCTCTCCAGATCCTGGAGCATAGACATCTAATCTCAGAGCACAGGAAGTAACTGAACACAATTAGAGAATCCAAAAACGACAAAGAACCTAGAAATTA